GAATTCTTTTTTATTTTTAATCATTTTATTGGGAGCTGGTACAACTCTTATCACAATCCATCCATCCATCCATTGTGTCAAGCACATTTGTACATTTGTTGCCATCATCATTTTCAAAACATTTGCTTTCTGCTTGAGCGCTTGGTATCAGCTTCTCATTTTTCCCCTCCCTCCCTCTTGAATTTTTGATAATTTATATAACAATTTTTTTTCATGCCTTACACTGACCGATGTCTCCCTTTCCCCACTTTTCTGTTGTCCATCTCCTGGGAGGGGGTTTTATGTAGATCATTGTGATCGGTTCCTCCTCTCTCCCCCCACCTTACCCTTACCCTCCTGGTATCACTACTCTCATTATTGGTCCTGAGGAGACTCGGGATTCTTATCCAGTGATGATGGGAGGAAGTGTGGTAGTTACGGGCTTTTTTCCTTAAGAAAGTAGGCTGAGCTACGCCACTTAGAATTTTGGCATGTTCACGCCCAGTGATGGGTCTGTATTTCTGAATCTGTCACACTACAAAATGTTGCTCTCCAGAGTGAAAGGGAACGTCCGGGTGATTGGCAAGGCAGTCTTGGTTAACAAGAGATTCTATCAAAATGAACATTTAAAACCGTCAAGAAATTTAGACTATATCACCTGGGATTCGTGTGCAGTTCATTCTTCTCTGCACATGAAGGGTTTTTCACTAGGAATTTTTTGCAAAGAACTTTTAGAAAGAAAAAACAATAACTCATTTTCGTGACACGCTGGTGCATTTTGAAATGCTAATGGCGTTGCTAGTGCCCTGCCTACGTGTCTGGAAGAAAGCAGAGACTTTGTGTTCTGTCCACACTACACAAGGGTGGGTGGTGACACTCTTAGCTCACACTCTGGATCTCAGAGAAGGACAGTGGCAGTTTGACCAACTGTCAGCATAATGGCTCTTCATCCCAAGTGTGGTTAACTGCTGGCGTCCCTCTCACTCACTGCCATCAAGCTGATGCCAACGCATAGCAACCCATCAGGAGAGGGTGGCACTCTCCGGGGGAGCTTCTGAGACGGTCACTGCTAACAGGATTAGCAAGCCCCATCTCTGTCCCACCTAGACGCTAGCAGTTTCCATCTGCTGACCTTGGGATTATAGCCCAACGCACAACCACGGCACGACAAGTGGTTAACGTGCTGAGCTGCTGATGGAAAGATTGTAGGAGGAGGGTCCACTCCACCCGAGAGCCCCTCAGAAGAAAGAGATGGCAAACTGCCTCCAAAACTCAGCCATCCAATAGCGTGGGGAGCACCATTCCGTAAGCTTTTAATAATGGTTTCTACACAAGTCCACTGGACAGCTCAGCAAGTGCAGAAGTCACCGGGAGAGTCACTCTGCCAGGGACAAGATGGGCATTCAACTGCTGCTGTGGTCGCTGGAACTGGCCCACGTCCTTCCCAGGAAAGAGCAGAGAGAAAGACCGGAACTGCAAAGGCCTAATAAGTAAAGAGAGAGTTCATGTCTTAAGTAGCCACGAATTTCATTTTTCACTCAGCAAGTATCTCCATCCCTGAACCTTCCATCACCTAGGAAATTGCTGCATGTTTATTTTTATTTTCAGGAGAAAAATGGAAGTGACCATGGTCCCTTGGTTCAGGTGGAAAGCACCACTTTTATGGCGGGTTGGGGAAACTGGACCTGTGGGTTGTGAGATCGAGATCCAGTTCCACTGCAGAAAAATGAGAAATCACTATGTGTTTGTCAGGGGCCACAGAGATGGTCTTGGGCTGGGAAGCTTTCGTCCGATGTTTGCAGTAATCTTCTCTTTCCTATTTCACCACATTCGGATTGTTCAAACGTAAGCCCTTCCGCGAGAAGCCTCCAGAGAGTAGGCAAACAGCATACATTCGATTCCTCACTGGGTTTGCCCCTTTCTCAAGGCGGGCCGGGGGACAGGATGAGAAGTGTTGTGCATGCAGCAGGTTTGTTTCTTGGCTCCGTCATAACGTCAACATCAGTCTGGCCCGCATCGCCCTCCACCCGCCGTGTTGTGGCTGGTGTGAGGTAACGTGGAGTGCAGACCCACACACAGAAGGACTGGTCAGCACAGACTTGCATTTTGAGTTTACTCTAGTGATGCATGGACAGTGCATCTCTACCTGAATTTAGACTAGACTCTGGTATTGAGAAGTGTTGACTTTACCAGCTTTGGATGCAAGGAGAGTTTGTAACAATTCAGATGTGGGCAGCTCTTGATAATCTCTTGATTCCATTTGAGAACAGCCACCTTTCTTGCTGTAAGTGATGCTCCGTTGATATGTGGACCTTTTGTCTTTTGAGTCTCTGGATCTTATTAAAATCTTCTATTTTAACTGAATTTATCAGATAGATACCTCTCTAACGAAAAGGTCAGTGTCAGGTAGAAGCGGAAATCCACATTCTCCACTTGAACTCCCGTGATGCCGGAGGTCCAGGCTGGGGAGGGGACACCTTTGTTGCTATTGGGCAGGGGTGAGGGTTCTGGCTCTCCATGTGATCGTCTCTGACGCTGTGGTGAGAGTGGTCTCCTTAGCACTGGAGAGACTTCCTGTGACACCGTCCCAGTGGGGAGGAGAGGTTGGAGTGGAAGCCCAGGCTCCCCACATGTTCCCCCTGGGGACCATTGTGGGCACCTCAGTTCCAGCCCTGCTGGGAGACAGGAGGGCCCCGGCTTCCCCGTCAGCCTTCTGTGACGTTACATGGTATGAGGGAAATTCTGATCACCCCATCTGCAGAAGGCTATGGATGACAGTGAACCCCCAAATCCTTTTGCAGCGTTTCCATGCAGATTGAGCCTCCATTGAATGCCTTCTGATCATTAACCAAGGATACAGATAATCTTGTCCCCAGGAAGAGAGCCTTAGAAAGTCCACTACCTTTCTCCACCCCTCTGCAGCCAGTCCCCTGAGGGGCAGTCTCTTAGGTGCTTGTCCGGGTATGTCCTTCATGGAGATCACTGTACTGGAGGGGGTCAGAAAGTCTCAACAGAAGCTCATTAACTCTAATCAAATGACCAGGAAAGAGGCAGCCTAGCAAGGCAGAAAGCATTTTAAACAACAACTGCTCTGCTCCAGTCAGACAGCATGCAAGAGCTGCTGCCCGTCTAAGTCAGCAAATGCAGCATCCAGAGACTAGACTTCCAGCCACAGAAGCTGTGAGGAAGAGCTGTAACGCTGTTTTAGGGTACTGAGGAGACCGCAATCTCAAATATAATGGAAGGAGAAGATTTATGAAAAGACACAAAAACAGACTTATCATCTGGATAGGGTACTAGATCATAAGGATGCCCAAGGGCTCCTAGTCAGGATGCTAGTCAAATAAAGCATGGAGCAAAGGAAACTCAAACATTCATGGGTGGTAGCAGATCCACGCCTCACAGGTACAGGTAGCTGTACCTGTACACAAAAGGGGAACAGAACCACAAGTGAAACACATGCGCTATCTAACAAGGTTGGGCCTATGGGCCTAAGACCCTATGGCCAAGGTCATGACTCAAGACCATGTGACAGTACATTTCGGAATCGTAATAGATTTGTTTCATGTATGAGGTCCAGGGTTTCTTTTAGTTATGTTTAACAGGAAGAGTAGGAAAAAATAAGTCTACTCCATCTTCCCCACAGCAGAAGCCCCGGCCATGCAATATTTGTTTCTTGTTTTATCTTTTATCGTGAAAAAATACACATATGCAGAAATCATGAGAAAACTGTACAGCTAACTCATAGCTTTCCACGACCTAGGGTGAACATTGAACATTTTGCTACATTTGGCTTTATTGCACATTTATCTATCCGCCCATACCACCTCTCTACCCACTTAGTGTTTTCTGATGGACATCATTATACCTCACCCCTAAACATTTCAGCTTGTATTTTAATTAGGCTTTGCTATTTGTTGCAGTCTATTTTTAAGGTAAATTTGCCATGAAGTTAAATGCACAAAATTCTAAGTACCACTTGATGAATTTTATATAACACAACCCCTATTGAGATCATTTTTATCACCCCAGGAAGGTCTCTCATGCTCATTCTGAACTAATTCCAGTCTTCACTTCACCCCAAGAAGCAGGGATTGTTTTGATTTCCCCCCCCCCAATTGATTGGATTTGCTTATTTTAGAGCTTGATCTAAATGAAGCCACGGGCATGATTTTTATTTTTGTTTTCACACTGTTTTAGTATCTCCATGTTGTCACGTATCCATTGTCCATTTGTATATGGCTAAACAGTGCTGCATTGACTCGATAACATCATCGACTTGGAAAAGTCCATTTTAAAATAAGTCCATTTTCTTGTGAATGACACTGGTCTATTTCTAGTATTTCACCATTGGTTTTGATATTTGGAATAATTTCAGTTTTTGCAACTTCCCTGCTCTTTTAAGCACACTACAGGATAACCTATGGTTCTGAACCTTTATTCTTAGGGGTAACTTGTTGAGGGTAAGTAATACCATCTTCCTGGATACACAAGACTCCCATTTTCTGCTTATATCTTAGTGTCCTCTATTAGTTTATTTGTGTCTGAAAACTTTGGGGAATTGGAACAAAACAATGGTTCTAGCATTATTTTAAGAAATTGGAACATAGCTTCTTGGCACTACATTTTATTTTGTGGAGGAGAAACCCTGGTTTTAACGAAACTGTCACTGTAACATTTATTACTAAGCGTGCCAAACGAGTGTCCAGAGGAACATCCTGTTCCAGAAATTTCCAGAATATTCCGTTCCTACACCAAATACTGATGTCATTGTTGCAGCTGGACTTCGCGGTCACTCTCAGACCCTCGGCCTTGCACTGCATTTCTTTCCCTGAACATGAACACCTAAGGGGGCCCTCATTTCTGACCCTTTGACTACGGTTTGATGTCAGGGGACTCTGGCTAGTGGAGGATGGGACAAAATGGACTTCATCTATGGATTATAATCAGAAAGGAACAGGAAATGTTGTTTCAAACTTTCATGACAACCCTTCTCTGACATTGTTTGTTTCTCTGTGCAGTTGATGGTCTGGATAAAGCTTCTATAGCAAACTCAGATGGCCCAACGGCAGGTTCCCAAACACCTCCCTTCAAGAGAAGAGGAAAACTGTCCACCATTGGTAAAATCTTTAAGCCTTGGAAATGGAGAAAAAAGAAGACCAGTGATAAATTTAGAGAAACCTCAGCAGGTAAGACTATCAGATTCACAAAATAAATGCTTACGTTTTTCAAAAGGTGGGAATTGTGTCTTGCAGAATTTTTTTCCTGGGGGAGTGGGGAATCCATATGAGTTATGAAATTATTTCAAGACGATTTGCCTTCTTTTTAGCCTCACTCCTGACTTTTCAATGTATCAGAAATATTTTCTAATATGGTCTTGTTTTTAATAAATACTTGTTTTATGGATTATATTTATTAAATAAGGAGCTCCGCTGACCCATTGGGTTAAGCATTGGACTGCTAAATGTAAGGTTGGCTGTTCGAACCCACCAGCCTCTCCTCAAGAGAAAGATGAGGCTACTGCTCCCCTAACGATTTATAGCCTCAGAACCCCCCTGTAGCAGTTCGTTCCCTTCTGTCCTGTAGGGTCATTATGAATTGGAGTTAATTCAGTGACAGTGAGTTTGGTTTGGGTTGATGAACTTAGGAGGAATTGCAATAATTGGAAATTAGAAGTGCGAATGTTACTGTCTGTGGTGTGGATACAGAATCTATGTATGATACATTGATGAAATAGATATTGGTACGTATGTATTCACATAGTTCAAGCAACACTCTCTTGCTGTTAATTTAGTTTAGCTTTTATGTCTTTGTACTGTGGGTGAGATTTAAATGGGTACACATAAGGAAAGTGTTGTTTCAATTGTTTAATTTTAAGTTTCTATGCTAGAATAGATAAGTGGTCTTTCTTTGTCCTATGGGAGCCATATCCTGTTGGTATGAACATTTTTCTAGTGTTAATTTAATTTGTCGATTTGTTAAAACTTAGGAATAGCATTGTTTAGTACCTTTCCTATGGACTTAAGGCCGATTTGCTGGTTCTTTTGGCAGCCCAGAGTACTTGCAATAGTCTTTAACACTTCCTCAATTCAAATGTATCGATTCTTCCTTATTTAGTGTCCAACTTTCACATGCATATGAGGCGATTGAAAATAACAAACCTTGAAGGGTCTCCAGGAGGAGATGAACCAGTGAGGGTGCAGCATAGCAACAATGAAACATATAACTTTCCTCTAGTTCTTAAATGCTTCCTACCCCCCACTATCATGATCCCAATTCTACCTTACAAACCAGGCCAGACCAGAGGATATACACTGGTACAGATAGGAACTGGAAACGCAGGGAATTCAGGACAGATAAACTCCTCAGGACCAGTGGTGAGAATGGCGATACTGGGAGGTGGAAGGAAGGAGGGTGGGGTAGAAAGGCGGAACAGATTACAAGGATCTATGTATAACCTCCTCTCTGGGGGACAGACAACAGAAAAGTGGGTGAAGAGAGACGTCGGGCAGTGTAAGACATGACAAAATAATAATGATTTATAAATTATCAAGGGTTCATGAGGGAGAGGGCAGCGAGGAGGGAGGGGGAAAGATGAGAAGCTGATACCAAGAGCTCAAGTAGAAAGCAAATGTTTTGAGAATGATGATGGCAACATATGTACAAATGGTCTTGACATACAATGAATGGATGTATGGATTGTGATAAGAGTTTACGAGCCCCTAATAAAATGATTGAAGAAAGAAAAAAAGAACAAGCCTTGAATCATGCACACCCGCGTCCTCAAAGTCACAGCTTTGCTTTTCAGCACCGTGAGGAGGTCTTGTGCAGCAGAGTCACCCAATGCAATTTGTCCTTTGAGCTCTAGACTGGAGTTTCCCGGGGCACTGATAGCGGATCCAGGCAAGACGGCATCCTTGACAGCTTCCATTGTTTTCCCCAATACAACAAAACACTTATGTATTGTTACTCTCGTCCAATGTGTTCTGAATTTTCAGTTAAAATGGAGAAGGAGGCTCTATCTCCATGACAGGAATTCTGTCTCTGTACTCTCCTGATAAAGTTGTCAGTCAGTTTCTTCCTGGAGCCCACATTCATGGCTCTAATCTCGTATGGGGACCTGAAACATCTCTCCAGCTTTCCCAACTGTTCCCTGCCTCTTGGTAAATATCACTGGGTGAGTGTCAGTTCACAATGAACCCATATGAGAGCGTAGAATTGCCCCTACGGTGTTCTAGACTGCTGTCTGGTTGAGACAGGATCACCAGGTCTCTCTCCTGTGGATTCAAACTGCCAACCTTTCCATTAGCCATCAGGGTTCCATATACCTATCTTAGTCATCTTGTTACATAAGGTTCTTCTATCTTTCCTAAAGATCTCCCCCCCCAAAAAAAAAATTCCTTTGATCTGTTTTCAACATCAAAGGTTCTCATTGGGGGGGACATGCACATTTCCTCCAAATTGCATGAAGGGTGCTTTCCACAACTCTACATTGTTCAGTAAGATTCTATGGAGAACTATAGAATCATCCTTTCACACAAGCCAACGAGGCCCCTGGTCTCATGCTGCTGCTAAGTATGACTGCGCTTCCCATCCACGTTCTGTCTATTTTCAAGACTGTTGTCGGGTATCCTCAAGTTCATTCTGACTCCTGTCAACATAGAACAACATTGTGCCCAGTCCTATGCCATCCTCACGACCATTGCCAAGCCTCTTGTTGTAGCCAATCGTCGAGTGGCGTTCCACCTCGCTGAGGCTCTTGTCCTTTTTTACTGAGCTTCCGCTTTATCAGGAGCCGGGGGGCCTGGGGATTATGCATCGGGCTGCAAGCTAAAGGATGGCAGGTAGACTCCACCAGCTGCTTCCAGGGAGAAGGATGGTGCTTTCCCGTAAAGCCTGACAGCCTCTCGAAACCACAGGGGGCAGTTCTACCCTGTCCGGGAGGGTCACTGTGCATTGGCATTGACGATGGCAGTGACTGTGGAGTGCGTTTCTGCTTTACCGGGGACTGGTCCTTCCTCATCACACGTTTTTTTCTAAGGAGGATTTGGATCGCATGTGCAATACCGATTTGCTCATTCCCTCAGTCTATTCGGGATTCTTCCACAGCGCCATAATTCAAAAGTCTTGATTCTTCCTCAGTCTTCCTTATTCAATGTCGAGCTTTCACGTGCATCTGAAGAGATTGACAACACCATGGCTTGGTTTGCCACACCTCTGCCCTCAAAGCATTCTCTTGACTTGTAAGAAACCTTTTGCCACAGACTCGCCCAATGCAGTGCATCATTTGCTCTTTTGACTGCTGCTTCCACGGCGTGCGTTCGCTGTCGATCCAAGTGAAATGAAGTCCCCGACAACGTCAAGCTGGTGTCCAGCTGGCATGATGTTGCATGCCGATTCATGGCGATGAGTTTGATCTTCTTCAGGCCGAGGTGGAGTTCATCAAAGCTGTCATCTGGGAGGAAGTGCTTCATCAGTAAGGGCTTCGTCTTCTTCACTTTCTTCTTGAAACTCTTGTTATTGACTTTGGGGAGGAAAAAAACAGATTCCACTTAGGTATTACTAATGTCTAGAAATAGTATGCCCCCCTCACTGAACTCACCTATCAGTCTGGTGACGATGCCTTAGGCTTTTCTCTATAGACAGCCATGCCATCATGAATCGACAGCTTTCATTTCCTCCTTTCCAATCCGGATGGCTTCCATTTCAACTGTCCTACCTCCCAGCTGTACCCAGGACTTTGAATGCGATCATGGATAGGTGTAGTGAGAGCGGAAAGCCCGGCCTTCCTCCCAATCATTAACTATGGTACCGGTTGATTTCCTTTTGATAGATGCCTTTTACCGGGTTGAAGAACTTTCTTTTATTCCTGACTTTCTGAAAACATTTGTTATGGATAGTTACTGAATTGCTCAAATTCTTTTTCTGCCTCAATTGAGATGGTCGTGTGGTTTTCCTAAAAGCCATAGTGTGGTTGATTGCATTTTTAGATTCTTGAATATTGCAACCGTTTTGCATTCCTGGGCCAAGCCCCGCTTGGTTCCGGTATTAATCTCTGTCCCTTCTGTAAGACAAACCGTATTGCCTCCAGGGTCCACATTCAGTTATGCAAGGGTTTCTGCCCAACTAACCCAATTGAACAAAAGAGCCAATCAAAAGAGTGGCTTCTCATCAAAGCCCACATGGAAGAAGCACACGAGCCCATGTGATCACGAGGTGTCCATGGGGTCAGGTATCAGGCATCACAGACCCAGAACAAAAAATCATATCAATGTGAATGAGGGGAGTGCGGAGTGGAGACCCTAAGCCTATCTGTGGACAGTTGGACATCCCTTACAGAAGGGTCACGAGGAAGAGATGAGCCAGTCAGGGTGCAGTATAGCACCAAGGAAACACACAACTTTCCCCTTGTTCTTTAATGCTACCCCCACCCC